CTAAAGTCTGTCTACACCGGACTGGACAAAGCAACCGCTGAAAATCATTTGAAATTTGTGTCAATATGTCATAAATAGAATGCGGCAGCAGTTTTCTGTAGGGGATTTGTCGTGTCGCGCGCCGTGCCGCATCAAGTGTAGACAGCATCACTGATTATAATGAGTTATATCGTATTTTGTCGCGCCGCTCGCGTCCGGTGTAGACACAGTGTTTGACTTTCATTGGAGATAAAAAGAGAGAACAGGGCATTAATGGATTAGAGAGACTGTAATATGTCACAGGTCAAATATAAACCTACATTAGCTATGATCACAACAGTTCCAAGAACACACAAACTCCCCACCGCACCACAGCTCTGACCCAATGCATGCTGCTGAAAAGTTCAAGCAATAATACTGAGCATTTGGGTTTCAGTCCATAATTCAATTAATCCCACAATACCCAGTTGAGAACATCTGATTAAACAGAGCTCCGATATCAGGCGCTCTTCCTCATCTCAAATGTGCACACGGGTGGGTGAGGAGTTTCTATTAAAGAATGTGGGTTAAGGCCACTGCCCTGACTGACATTAATCCTACAAAAGCTCCATATGGCCCTGAGGGGTGGCAGAATTAGCCTGTATTGTAAGACGCTAAATTCAGAAAATATCAACATCCAGAAAATAGAATCCTGAAAAAATTATATTTTCTTAATTTGCAATTATATCAACAAACACTCTCCTGAAAAATATGTAACAGCAAATGATGTCAGGATGTAAAAAACAACAAAAATATCCTGCAACACCACAAGCAATGCAGCTTGAATAAAGGTGATTGGGACACAAATGTAGTTTGACTGCCATTAGTTGTTGCCTGATCTTTCTGTTGATAGGTCAACTGACAAAAACACCTCAGTACGCGTCCCGTGAGATCGACCGAGCACTTGGGACACGCCAAAACAAGCAATGTCACTCAGATTAACAAGCAGATGAGCACACAGCAGGAGCAACAGATCATTTTCCCACAGGTGTAACAGTGCACAGTGTTTACACAGCCACTGACACACGTACTATTAAGACTGTAAGGCTTGTACAAAAGATGGTTTTTCTCCTTGGCTCCTCTTTCCATCCTCACTGTGGCCCACTGCGAAAATAAAGAAAAACAACCTCAATTTAATGCAATATTATTACCACTGAAACATTCTAGTATTGTTTTACTATTGTAAGAATTATCTTAATTGAATTGAAAATATATTATTATTATTAGATAAAAGTATTATCTAAATATTTAAATGTATACAAATGCTAAAATATAATTAATTAAAATATTTATTTAAAACTAAATACATATTTAACCCTCTGATCATGAATGAAAAATCAATTAACGGTGGAAAATATCAAAAAAGATTAAATATTATTGTAATCATAGAGTGCTGCAGTGATGACATATTTTTGCAGACCAACCTGAAAGTTAGCAACACCCTGGTTACCTCTGTTTTTTGGATTAGTGCAGAAAATAAGCTCTGTGACTGACCGAAGTTTATGATTTTTACACGTTTTGTTCAAACCCGAGAGTCTTCACAAATTAACACAACTTATACATTTTGAAGCCTAAATAAAGCATAACCAAATAGCTAAACGTTATATATAAACAAAAACAAACTACACATGATTTCAACGTCACCACCATTAAGCTTCCAACAACTTTTTTAGTCTTTTCCCTGAAAGTTTGAGTTTGCAAGAACACGATTTAAAAAACCCATTCAAAAAACCCACTGACTTCAGGACAATGGAACTGGAAGTGCTAAAATGCTACGGTCACTTGTTTCCGGGTTTTGGCCTACAAAAATGTCATCCCTGCAGCACTCTATGACATATCTAATGCACAGTCAGCCAGTCATTAATCGCAAAATAAAACTCATTTACTTCCTCATCATAATGGACCTTAAAATAAACTGCCTGTTTCATGATTTGAAAACACATTGCGGTGGACTGTGTAGCACAAACATACACAAACACACACACACACATACATACTGAATGTTCCCTCAGGGAACAACAAGCGCTTTATTGAAAAGCTGTGGGAGGACGAATAATGTCAGTATGTTAATTCAGGCATGTGGAGCACACAATGCACACAATTGACTTGACTTGAGAATCAGAAAACACTGAAGGGCTGCTATTGATATCTTGCGAAATTAACACACGTTTTGCTTTAACTTCAATGCCTCAATGCTAGCCTATTCATTTGTCTTATTTCTCTATCTGAACTAAGGTTTCTTCTCATCTGTAATAAGAGTACTTTGAGGTTGAGGACAGAATATAGACACAGCACAGTTTTTTCATCATTTTGTCCCTGGAAGCTCATGGTACAGTAAACATTTACAATCCTGTTGCAATGTACAGCTGCAGAGCTGTAGGTTCTACACACAGTCAGGAATAGCACTTTTTTATCATTTTACTCTTATTTTTTTGTTTAGGGATTTAAAACCATTATTATCTATCAAACATCCTCTTTATTGCTTCCCCGTGACTAGGTTGGCTAAGCTGAATGTTGTTTAACACCCAAACAACATGACGTTTAACTAGAATTTCTCCTTCATTTCAAGAAATTCTCCTGCTTGTTGTTGGAAAAATACTCGTTTCCAGTTTCAGGCAGCAGGACGAGAGTAGCACGCATTTCTGCTCAGGCAGTGCGAATGCACGACCAGTTACATAACAGCTTCAGACGGACGTGAGGTAATGCTGAAATAAATCAGCCACAGCTGGAGAGGAGCAGCCCCTCGGCTCTTCACAGTGCCAGTAAAGGAAGCAAATCATGCATTTTCTAAAAACATTAACCAGATGTGCTTAACATGTCCTCCTCGTCCAGATCTCATTTCTTGCACCTAGCCTCTTAGTTAAAAAAAGAACTGTATTCATATTTAGATCCCAGTATGTTCTCTGGACCAATAAAAAATGCAAACTGTGCACTGACCTCCCAACTCCATCTACATCTCATCAGATGGCCACAATAATGTAAGAGTATGAATATGCAAAACACGAGTGCATGAGAAGTTCACACTACCAAGTGCACTCAATAAATAAAAAGTATCAAAAAGTACCATGTTAGTACCACAGTTTTTTGGACATGGTGCTGTGATAATACAGTGTTTTTTGGACATGTATCATGATAGTACCATGATATTATGCACAATGTCATTATCATATCAGTTATCTAATAAATATTAAATATTTAAGTGTTGTTAAATGTTTACATTTAGATTCTAAAACTCCCTTAAAGGGATAGTTCACCCAAAAATGAAAATTCTGTCATTAATTACTCACCCTCATGTTGTTCTAAACCCATTAGACCTCCGTTCATCTTCGGAAAACAAATTAAGATATTTTTGATGGAATCTGACAGCTCTCTGACCCTCCAATAGACAGCAAGGTAACTACCACGTTCAAGGTCCAGAAACGTAGCAAGGAGATCGGTAAAATAATCCATACATATGACATCAGGGGTTCAACCGTAATATTACGAAGCTACGAGAACACTTTTTGTGCGCAAAAGAAAAAAAACAACAACAACAATTCGTCAATTTTCTTTTGCGCACAAAGTATTCTCGTAGCTTCGTAATATTACGGTTGAACCCCTGATGTCACATGGATTATTTTACCGATCTCCTTGCTACGTTTCTGGATCTTGAACATGGTAGTTACCTTGCTATCTATTGGAGGGTCAGAGAGCTGTCAGATTCCATCAAAAATATCTTAATTTGTGTTCCGAAGATGAACGGAGGTCTAATGGGTTTAGAACGACATGAGGGTGAGTAATTAATGACAGAATTTTCATTTTTGGGTGAACTATCCCTTTAAAGTTCATTTTTAAAAATGCTAACAATTTAATAACACTGTTAAATGTAGTATTTTGCAAATATCAAAATATATCAATTTTTCCTTCCATACATTACAATGTTGCGATGCCTAAATTCATTTATAGTATTTAAAACAACTGATTTAATGTGACTGAACGATTGGTTATTCATCTCTCTCACTCCAAACTTTCTGTCAACTCTATACAATCCAGTGAACAAATGCAAGGCCACAAATAAATCAGTATGAACAACAATCCAACAAGATGACCTTCTGACTCACCTCAAACACCTTGAGCAGCGTCTTCATGTAGAGTCTGCGGATACCGAAAGACAGACCGAAAATGGCAGGAACGATGATGAAGACCAAGAGCAGCGTGAACCAGACAGTGAAAGAGATGCCCAACAGCATGCATAGCAGATTATTGAAAGGAGACATAAAAGGGCCCATTTTTACAAAATGAAAATGTGGTTTGTTTTTAGAAAGGAGAGGAAAGTGGACACCCAGGCAGCTTTCTCAGGCACTTTTAGGGTCAAAGTCTCCAGAGTACGATGTGGAATGCGTCCATAAAGCAGACAGGTGACATTACACAGTCTTTCATTTCCGATGGCTCACGACTGGATGAAGCAAACCCATCCTTCTGCATGTAGCACTGCCCAGAGGTGATTAATTCTGCTTTTATTGATTCATATTCTTCAACATTGGCTATTTTGCAACTTCAGATGCCTGTAGGCTCACAGAACATGACAGCTCTTCACTCAAAACTCTGTAATGGAGAAACCTGGAGAATGTGAAGGAAACACAAACAGGAAGAGGATTACAATTCACTCAAACACAGGCTTATTCAAATCCAACTGACTGTAACTGAACACACCAAAGTAAATGCAACAGGTTGATCACAAAGCCAAACAAAGTGGCCTGGGACTACACTGGGATCTCAAACAAGGACACGTTTAAGTCAGAGCTCCCACGAGTACAGAGAAGAGAAGAGAAGAGAAGAGAAGAACTTTTACTCAAAGTACCCAGCCACAATTATACATACAATAAAAAAAACATTGTTTTTTATTAACTAAAACTATAAAATACTGTTTTCAGTGATTGAAATAAAGCTAAAATAAAACAGTACATAGTACATAAATTACTTAAGTACATAAATTACTAGAACTTATACTCAAATTAAAATAAAATCTGAAAATATAAAAGCTAATTCTCAATATTAATAATATATTAGTATATACACTGCCATTCAAAAGTTTGGGATTAGTAATGTTTTTTAAAGAGGTCTCTTCTGTTCATCAAGGCTGCATTTATTTGATCAGAAATACAGAAAAAAAACAGTAATATTGTGAAATATTATTACAATTTAAAATGTTTTTCTATTTTAATATACTTTAAAATATAATTTATTTCTGTGATGCAAACCTGAATTTTCATCCAACACGTGTTTTATTTAGTCTTCAGTGTCACATGATCCTTCAGAAATCATTCTAATATGCTGATTTATTATCAATGTTGGATACAGTTGTGCTGCTTAATATTTTTTTGGAACCTGTGATACTTTTTACAGGATTCTTCAATGAATAAAAAAGTTAAAAAGAACAACATTTAATCAAAATAGAAATCTTTTGTAACAACATACACTACCGATTTGGGGTCAGTCATTTATTTTTATTTTTTTTATTTTTTTTATGCTTTTATTCAGCAAGGATGTGCTAAATTAATAAAAAGTGATAATAAAGACTTATATTGTTAGAAAAGATTTCTATTTTAAATAAACACTGTTCTTTTGAACTTTATTCATTAATACTAAAAAAAAGTATCACAGGTTCCCAAAAAAAGTGTAAATAATACTAAAATAACACTGTCTGAAACTGACCAAAGAAAATTGAGGTACAGTTCAGATTTTCACTGTAGTAAATTTGAAGCACTAAATTATGCAAAGTAACCTACTTAATCAGTAATCACTATTTCATCACTAAGTTCCGACCTTAGTAATGATCTCGTTAAAGGAGGCATGCAGCTGAGAAACAGTTTTACTGTGCTATCCCGGTAAATCACATGTCATAATTTAGCTGGGAATATTTTGGAATTAAATGGATTAAAAGGATTTGCTTTAGGTTAACAGAAAGTGAATGACAACTAAATTTTACATTAAAATGCATTTCATTGGCTGTTCTAAATAAAAAAAAATAAGTAAAATTAATTTAATTTCGAGGTTTAAATAACATTTTAAGGAGAAAAAAACTTTCTTTAAAAAGGTAGTTGAAAAGTAATAAGTTTCAACAGCACTTGACTACAATTATCCCAAATACTTCATAATCATCAGCAGCAGCAGCAGCAGTAGTAATGAAGAACAATTAACGTACTCAAGTACTCACACGTCAGGTTATACAGCCTGCTGTATCGCTGTTCGAAGAAAACTGCTCGATCCACTACATGACTTTATAACTAAGCAGGTAATCTGTGCCAGCTATAGCCTTCAGCACGAACAGGCAGAGCAGAGCAGCGGATCGGATGACTGTCTTCACGGATCATCTTACACAGACCGCGCATCGCGTGTGCGGCATCGACAGAAGCATTTCCTCGGCGCGTTATGGAGCTGAGCCGCTTCGATCTCAAACCGAGGGCGCGTCCGCATCGCGCTCACCGACACCGGCGGAACAGACCGTCACGGAAAGGGATGCGAGAGCGAAGATCCGCATGTCGTGAGTGACGTACAGACTGACGCGCGTCTGAGAGCAAAACCACACCACGGGAGTGTGACACAGACGGATGTCTTCCGCCAGGGGGCGCGTCGAGGCTCAGAAAAAACCCATTGCGACACATTCAAATTTCAGGACGTTTTCTTGTTTTTATTTATTTATTCATTTTTTTGTCTCACTGGAGAAATTTTTACTCTAAAGGATTGGTATAAATCGTACAATTTCGCTCTAGAAATGGCTAAAATATATTTTATAAAATAACGTCAGCTAGTAATCACAGACGAATGTGATTGGTTAATCCTGAGAAGCGCGGAGAAAAGTAACAGGCTTCATGTGATCACGAGATCAACGCGCTGCTTCCGCTACAGGTTGAGTAATAATTCACATCTTTACAACAAAACTGAGAAGCTCAAATAGGATTTAATTTAACAAAAGACAGTGGGACAAACTAAATATAAGAATTATTATATTAGAGACAACTTTCGAGTCTCTAACCCTATCATTTACTTTTTCTAATGACCAGTATCAGCGAGTCAGCGAGTTCTAGTGACCAACAACTAAAAAGGAAGCCTATTTTGTCGAGATACAGAAAAAAAAAAGAACTTTTAAATCCTAAAAAGCTAAAATAACTGTTCTTTCAAACAGTAGAACTTACACTAAGAATCCACCAGGTGGAGATGTAGGACTGTATGCAATGTCAATGGCAAAAAAAAAAAAAAAAATTATATATATATATATATATGTTATATATATAATTTTATTTTAATTATTATTATTATTTTTGCCTGTTGTAATTGCCCCAGAAACATTAAAACTGCACAAAAAGCTGCAAACCGTTAAATGTCACTCAATGAATATTGTTGTCAATGGCTTTTGATAATACCTCCAAATTCATTGTAATCACCAGTAAAAGGCCATATATATATATATATATGTATGTAACATTTAAAAACTTTTTTTTCTTTTGTGAAACTGTGTATGGTTATGAGTGTTGTTTTGAGGATTTCAGAAGTTTATTGCGAATACATTACCAGTTTCATAATGTTTCGAATTAACCACCTCCTAATGAATTACAACACATATCTGCATTGTGTGATGTTTGTAAACAAAGTGTTGACATTAAAAAAAAAAAGTGCCTTAATATGAGCAGATGAAAAGCACTAAAAGCAAACAATTATGAAATAAATTATGATATAAAAATGATTACATAAATAATACATACAAAAAACATGAAACTTCCATTACAAACAAACAGACATAGAACAAAAGACATACCCAGAGAAGGAGCTGAATAATTCCCCCCACCAAAATCCTGACGTCAACCTTTGATGGGGACACTAGACTCAGCGGGACTTCTGACCCCACTACATGAAGGCTACACCGGAGAACAGAGCCTGACCAGACTGTTTTCTAAGCAACGGTTTCTCTTTGAAGTGACACCAGTGATCTCACTGTTGACCTTTAAATGTGAAAGAATAAGACAAAAATGTTTAATTATCCATGTGCATCTGATCTGAGAACAGTGTGGCTCTCTGTGACAGAACTGTTTTATAGGTTACTGATTGTGAGAGCTTTTCTGAAACCAGTTTCATGGATTTTAGGTGATAAGGAAACTATTCTAGGCTACATACAGAGGGAAAAGAGAGGCGGCCTATAGGACAGAAAGTGTGCTGTGATTGGCCACTGTGCATTGAAAAAAATGATGGACATACCTGAACTGACCACACAGAGTAACTCACAGATCTCCACTGCACATCATCCAAACAGGTAAGGACAAAATCATCATTTTATATTTCACATATATAATGCTAACAGTTTACAAAAAGGTTACTTTTGGTGACATTAGTTAATACATTAGACATAATGGACAAATAATAAACAACACATTTACATTAATCACTCTATGTTAATGTTAATTTCTATACATACTAATACATGTTTAACATTTTAGTTATATAACTTAACATTAATGTATAATAAACAAACATGAATTATCAATGAACAATATATTTATAAATAACATTAACAGATGCCAACTGTCTCTTGCTGCCACACAAGACCTGATTGTGAAGTTGGGGTAACTGAAACAGTAAGTTACAGTTATATTCTAAAATAAGAACTGTATGACCTTTGATTCTTGAAAATATGTAACGAATATTATTCAGTTATCCAGTAGAAAATTGTTCTTGACTTAAAATGTTCTAGTAAAAATGTATCTCTTCCTGAGACTTAGTATTATTCCAAACATTAAAACTACTCAGTAATATTAAGAATAAAACTATTATATAACTACTTTTTACTAATTTTATGCTTTCTTATTTGAAATACAGTGAATTATTTTATTTTATTATTTTATTTCTAGAGTTACAGTTACCTCTAACCGGTTACTCCTGTAATGGGGGCAACTCTAACACTCTAGCAAATTTAATATAATCATCTGTCCTTTCTTAATGTAAATGATCTTATACCACATGATAAAGAAGGTAGATTTGTAGTATGTGTTGCTGATGAAAGAAAATGTAAAAATAAAAAAAAACTAAAGTTGAAACGAATTCCCCTCTATTTAGTTTTTAAAAGATTAAATATTTATTCAAACAAGAATTATAGATTACAGCATAAAATGTCATGACAATATTTTTATTCTTTTTTTTTATTATTATTATAGGTGTGTCCCAGTTTGTGTATTTATGCACTATTCTGTGCCATTTTGTAGTATAAAGTATATAGTGAGTGTAGTATGTTAATACTGAAAATTCCAACTTCACTTCAAAAACCCAGATGATGCACTTATTTAACTGAAAACAAAAGTGTGGAACGCTGGACAGAAAGACGGGGGCTATCAGACTCTGATGCTGGATCACTTTTCAAAACTTCATACACACTAGACGTTAGAGTACAAAGTGCATAGTATATGTGTATAGTTCATCATTTGGGTCACAACTTATGTCTCACAATTGTTTAAAATGGTATTAATTTACTATTAAAGAGATATATGTTCTAAAAATGAAAACTCTGTCATCATGTCATTCTTTCTTCTGTGGAGCATAAAAGAAATCATTTTGAGAAATGTCTCAGTGTTACAGTATTTGCCCATCCAATGGAAGTCAATGGGTATCGGTCTGGTTACCAACATTCTTCAAAATAATTATTTTCTTCTGTGTTCTGCAGAAGAAAAAAAGTCAAACAGGTTTGGAACGACATGAGGGGGAGTAAATGATGACAGAATTTTCATTTTTGAGTGAACTATCCCTTGAACCTTTTCTGTCTTTACAGAGTTGATCAGCATTATCAATCACAATGTGGATCCTTCAGAAAGTGCAGGCGGGAGCAGAAAGTCTCGCGGTGCAGATCAGTCACCTCATCAGCAAAAATAAGGAGGAGATTTCGGCCAAGACCAGCATCTTCAATAAACTGCACAGCAACATCCTCACACCTGAAAAAATTCCTGAATTTTTCCTGCCTCCCAAACTGACCAAGCGCTGCCTCATGGCAGACGCTGAAAAAATCTCACAGTGTCTGAACGAAGAAAAAAAAAGCTTCCAGCTTTGCAAAAACATCACTGTCAAGACCTGGTACTGCCCATCCACTGAGAGTGAGTCTAAACAAACCTACAGTGGCTTTAAACAAACTCAAACCCATCCCATATTCACTGAAATGCTACGAGTCCGGTTTATTGCTACGAGTCTTTGTTCATTCACTTGACCATCAAATCACCCAAACTGTCCTGTAGAGCAGTGCTGAAGATGGCCAGCACTGAGAGTGACACGCCCTCTGCTGACTCCTCCCCTTATTCAACATCTCCACCAATCAGAAGAGAGGATTTCACCAGCGAACAGTCAATCTCTGAAGAGCCGCTACAGCATGAAGTTCATGCCTCTAGAGCCGAGAAAAAGAAAGTTCACTCCACTCCAGACAAAAAGCTCATGTCAAAAGTCCGTCGCCGTGCTAAAGTTATTCAAACATCCCATTGCACCAAACTAGCCCCGCCCATCCAGTTCTCCCTGGACATGCTGCACTGCCAGGAACGCTTCCATCAGGAGCACGTGCTTCCTCTTCCTCAGAGAGGCCGGGTGTGCGTCTCTGCCTTCAGGACCCAGTGCTCTATGACAGTTCGCATCCGTGTGATCTCTGTGGAAGGCTTGAGAGATCCCAGCGACCTTCGACCTCTGACCTGCAGCTTGACCCTAAGCCTCACCCCAGGCAAGCTGCAGCGGCAACACAGTGCCATCATCAGGAACTGCCATAACCCCGTGTTCAATGAAGATTTCTTCTTCCAGGAGCCCGAGGAGCAGCAGGGCAGTCTGGGAGATCTGGCTTATAAACAACACGTGACAGACTGCCCCTATCAGCCTTTTTACCCTTCTTCATGATCTAAATACAATCTCTGAACACAAGAGGGCGAGCATGAGTTTCCTCTATCCGGCCTCAGCTTTCAAGAGGGTACAAGTGCAAGGCTGCAGCCAGACCCTTCTCTCAGCTTTGACTTTCTCAAGCACTCTGCTCTGAGTCTGAGCCGTTTACAGGAAGGAGAATGAAGACCAGTCAACAGAGGCCTAATTGAGATAATCATTATAAAGCTGGAGCGTGTATGAACTCTCTCACAAACACACATGTTGCAGGAGTGCACATGCTGTAAGGCCAGTGTTAAGCAGATAGAAAGAGAGTGCTAATTAGTCCAATAAAAACCCAAGTGCCTGCTCTAATAGCAAGATAAATGTGCAGGGAGGCAGCGCAGGACCTTTCCTTTAACTGCTG